AAGAGGGAGTGGAAAGAAGCCAGTGGAGAAGTCAGCTGCTGAACTTGATAAGGATCTCGAGAGCTATCACGCAGATGCCATGAACACTTCTTAAATCGCAGAAAAAGAATCAAGTGTTTTTCTTACTACCAGTTTCAGTGTTTGAGAGATGTTATCTTGCTTCTCTTTTTCATGCTCTTTGTTTCTAGTGCTTGTGGTTTTGTTGGAGGTTGGTGGTGTGTAATGTAAATGAAAAGCTCTTCAAATCGCGTCTTAAATTTGGTAACAAAAGTTGGTATTCGAAGTGAGAAGCTGTTTAGGATCTAATCATTTTACATCTGCTCCTGGAAAAACAGAGACATGCATGGATCGGATATTGGTAGTTTCGGTTAGTTATCAGAAGTTATTATCAACTGTGCTTGTTTGGCCATTTTTTTTCTTTTTCTCAACGTGAATGATAACGTATTTTGTATATATCAAAACAAATTAGCCGCATATATGTACAAAATCGAGTAAAAACCAAACCCGATCCATTCAAAACAACCCTTTTGGCTATCTTTCAGAAACAACGTTCTCGTTAAAAATGAATTCTCCAGAATTGCTTTTATGGAAAAGCGTATCCACCACTTGGTCCCAATTTTTCTTTTTTGATTTTGACTCCGGTACTTCACCATTGTCGCATTCTTCTTCTTCTTCCGCAGTAGACGCTGCGTGTGGGATATTGAGACTCACCGCTCTCTTCAACGCATCCTTGTGTTCTTTCTCTAAAGTATTTAACCTCTCCATTCTTTTCTCTTTTGGTGCCATTGTTACCACCGTCTCTGAACTCTGCTCTCTCAATCGCTGCAACCACACATCACAAAACCCACCTTGTTTTTTTTACAAGGCCAAACTAAATCCCTTAATGTTTTAAAGTGAATATGAGAAAATAAATGTCACCTGCAATGCCTTTTCCGATTCTCTTTCTATCCATAGAATCGCATGATCGGATGTTGCATTCGATGATAACACTATATGTTCAAATCTTCCATCCACGGGAATCGCAGTTCTCACTTCAGGAGGAAACCTTCCACACCTTTGCAACGACAAAAATACACCGAGGACAGGTTAGTTTTCACATCTAATTCACAAAGAAAGCAAGTTACAAAATGGCATTAGCTTTGATATTACCTGCAAAATTTGCGCTCCACGATATGATAAATTCGACCAGGAGCATAAAGTCTTCTAGGATCCCTTAGTTTTCTACCCTCTGGTATAAACGTATCTCT